CACTCTCCTACCCGTCAAATCTTATGACCATACTATGGTATCTATGCTCTCACCTTTTGTAAAGGGAAAATGCAAGAGCAATGTTTAATTCAATATATAAGCTGGCAAATATTTGTCAAAAACAGGGGTGATGATATCGACTATCCAGACCAAAGATACTTTGATCCCAGCAAACTGAATCTAGTAGATTTGAATCACATTTGCTCTCAACTACTACTTACAATATAAACCTATTTTAGGTATAAAAATACTTTAATCTTGAGATTTTAATCAATTTGTATAATAATAAGATATATGTAGATGAGGATGACGGTGAAACTTTATTTTCAAAGAAATTGGGAATTTTCGATCTTCAAACGATCATTTTCAACCAGTAAAACACAACCTTTTAACTGAATGTTACAAAAAATACACAACCAAAACAAAGAGAGGAAGATGACAAATATGGAAGATGTTTAATTGAAAAGGATGTGGGGTGTGGGTGTAAGGAAGAAAACATCCACACCCACAACCGCACCCTCACCCGCATCCACACCTCACACCTCCACCCACACCCACATCCCACACTTGCACCCACACCCCACACCTGCACCCACACCCCACACCTGCACCCACACCCACATCCCACACCTGCACCCACACCCCACACTTGCACCTACACCCCACACCTGCACCCCACACCCCACACCTGCACTCACACCCCACACCCCACACCTGCACCCACACCCACACCCTCTGTTTTTCGTATTTTCGAGACATTAATATCTAGTGAAAGTGATCAAATTAAATAAAAATATAAAACTTCTTCATTCTAATATCTTTCTTTATCTCATTTTATGTTAAATTTCACCATTTTAATTTTAGAACATAGTAAAAACATGATCTTTATCGTATACTCCCATATATCTTCCATTTAATAAGGAACAATGGTCTGAAAATTTAGGGCAATATTCGTCTTATACTAGGGCATTACAACTCTAATTTTGAGCGTTTTTGAATTTATTATAAGGAAGAACGATCAAGACTTTTGGTACACCCTGTATAATGTAAAGCCATCGACACATTAGAAGACCCGGGGTCTTCTATTCTGTCTTATCATTCATAAGTTAAAAGGGGGGTCTTCTATTATGTCCCTAAAAAAAGTCATATTTTTTGGTAGTTCCGTCAACAAATCTTAGTTTCACTTGATTTTTGTCCAATATATCGTTAGTAAATGAGTTTGCTTCACTTATTTCACATGTGTAGAATAAGAAAGAAACAGATATCATCCTGTGAAAAAGAGGAGACCATCGTTGGTAAGAAGTGTTCTTAGAACAATACAGTCAACGTAGCCTAGCATCTTGGTACGATATCCCATACCATTCTTTTTTCTCTAGGCTAAGACCTATCATTGGCAACAGTTTGCCTTCTCAATAACTAAATAAATGTAAAAAAGAAAATTAATTTTTTTTATCAAACTCATTTTATTCAGTTGCTTATGTGGAAATTTGATTAGTATATATGGAATCTATTCACAGTGAATTCTGCTACTAGCAGAGTTATTAATCTCAAGCTAACTTCAATGAATACGATTGTCTTGTGAAGAAACCATCTATAAAAAATCAGCAGTTGAATACAGACAGTGTGTTTTCTTTTGCGTCAGTTTCAAAAAATGCCATTGGATCTTATTGAAAAAAGAAATGCGTTCTCAAACTCAAAAGAAGTACTCACATATCAAATCTTGACGTATATACAGTCTACGGAAAAAACTCTGGGACACTCAAGAATGGCTCCCCGAAATTTCATCTTTCATTTAAAATAAACTTTATATATATTTTTTAAGTATAGTTATTGGTTAAACTTTCGTACTTTACTGTGCAGATGCAAAACTTCTAGTTTTAATACTATATGAAACTTTAACCAGTAACTATACTTAAAATATATATAAAGTTTGTTTCAAATGAAAGATAAAATTTTACAGAGTCATTCTTGAGTGTTCCAGAATTTTTTGCGTAGACTGTACATGAAGTTATGTTTTCTTCAATTATGAAACACTGTTTTGTTGTGAAAATGTTTCTGATTTTCTAGAAGAAAGTCAAAGATAAAGAGACCTTTTAATTAATACAAAGTGGCATTTTACCTAATCTGTTATTAGTCTACAAAGATCCCTTCATGTGTTACATGCACGAAGGGGCACTACGTTCATTAGATCATATGACTATGAAAGCGTGTTTTTCGTGTATAGAACCTGAAGAATGTTTTCAAAGTAAGCTGCAAAGAAGTGCTAAAATGACTCCATGATATGTTTTTACAAAGAAACGCAATCTTCAATAGATAGTTGTTTCCTATTAACTGCTTCTCTAGATTTTACTCATTCGAGTCTGATACTTCGTTATGAGGGAGGAAGCAAAATATTGTTCGTACCGAATTTCGATATCATTCTGGGCTTAAATACTAAACAAGTCAATAAACTCCAGAAACTATTTCAAAATGTCGATTTTTTAAGGGGG